TAGTTATTTAATTTAAAAAGTATTTAAAATACTGTTAATTATTCAATTAAAAAACTAATGAAAAAATATACCTAAATAGTTTTTGTAACCATGAGCGTTAACCCCTAAAACTCTATAAAATTTCCTTATTCTTTTTTGATATCGAGAGCCCCTTTTGGTGAATAAGCGTCGAAAAAAGTTGTAGTGTTGATAACTCTGATGAAAAACTGCTGATTTTTTGTGCTCAGTGGACAGTACTCTAGACACTGTCGTAGCATGTGATTGGACTGAGCCCTTTCTTGATTGGCAGGAATACAAAAAAAATATTAATTTCGTTTTTCAACGTTTTTGCCTTTGAAATGTTGCCAGAATGTCAGGTGAGTGTTCAAACTGCCATTCAATATTCTGCTATACATGCGGCTTTTGAAGTTCTCGAATTTGTCAATTTTTTTCTTGTCAATATTCTTGAGAGTTTCTAAAATTCTTTTTGGTGTCCAAAATTCTCAAAAAAATTCCTGCGGAATTATGTAGCTAAGCCTTTTTAAGTTGACTTGTCTTCGACGAAACGGGCAAATAATGGAGACCGGTGGAGTTCCAATGCAAACTGGCTCGAGTTGTGCATTGCCAAACTTAGAATTGCTTGGTAAGGGTCTCCACGTGACTAGCTGAATATAAACAAACAGCCCGAGCAGACAAAAAAACAGTTTTCAAGTTATTCTTTCTAGAATTTCTAACACACCTGGCCTCGGTTGTTCTAAAGCTGGATAGCGCTCTCCACCGGATAAATCTCTATGCAGTGGATAGTGCCATTAGTTTCCCCCATACCTATCCGCTGGATAGTGATTTATCCGGTGGATAGCTAGCGCCGCCCGGTTAGCTCAGTTGGGAGAGCGCCGGTCTGCTGAGCGGGAGGCCGTAGGTTCAAACCCCGGCCGGACCAACACTCAGGGTCTTTAAATAACTGAGGAGAAAGTGCTGTCTTTGTAATAACATCTGCAAATGGTTAGACTTTCTAGTCTTCTCGGATAAGGACGATAAACCGTAGGCCCCGTCTCACAAGCCCTTTGCACATGCAATAAATCTGTGGGACGTTAAAGAACCCACGCACTCTTCGTAAAGAGTAGGGCACGTAGTGCTCGGTGTAGTAATCTATCTCACTTTCACACTCATGTATGGGGGCATCATCACTCATTCCTTCAGTACTTGTAAACTGCACCTTAAGCAGTCTGGCAAAGTCCCCCAACCAGTGTTGTAAATTATCCCTGAAANAGTGGATAGTGCCATTAGTTTCCCCCATACCTATCCGCTGGATAGTGATTTATCCGGTGGATAGCTAGCGCCGCCCGGTTAGCTCAGTTGGGAGAGCGCCGGTCTGCTGAGCGGGAGGCCGTAGGTTCAAACCCCGGCCGGACCAACACTCAGGGTCTTTAAATAACTGAGGAGAAAGTGCTGTCTTTGTAATAACATCTGCAAATGGTTAGACTTTCTAGTCTTCTCGGATAAGGTCGATAAACCGTAGGCCCCGTCTCACAAGCCCTTTGCACATGCAATAAATCTGTGGGACGTTAAAGAACCCACGCACTCTTCGTAAAGAGTAGGGCACGTAGTGCTCGGTGTAGTGGTCTATCTCACTTTCACACTCATGTATGGGGGCATCATCACTCATTCCTTCAGTACTTGTAAACTGCACCTTAAGCAGTCTGGCAAAGTCCCCCAACCAGTGTTGTAAATTATCCCTGAAAAGCCCAGTGGGGAGTGGATAATAAGATACAAATTACAAATAGCGCTATTTAACGTTTGAACAACTGGGACCTGATGAAAAACCAAAACAAATTCCCGCGGAACGGGAGAAGGATTAGAAGGGAACTCGGTCCATGTATGTATATATATGGTCATGCTCATTTGCTGATGGGTATTTACAACAACTATTCAGGCTATTACAAGGTCAGACGAAGATTATCTGTTAACCAACGTTTTGTTAAGCTAACTTTATTTAGGAGAAAATCACCCTTGTTTTGCTAAATCATGTGTTTGTTGTCCTAATCAGAGGCCCGTTTTAGATGAATTTTAAGGTAAGAGTCTGTGTATTTCTAAACAACGAAACTGATTTGGCTTTGACAATTTATTTTCACGTACCAAATACAGAATAACGGCTTCTTGTCAACAATTTGGTTTGTTTTTGGCCTATATTACGCTCAAAATTCCATTTTGCATCGCCTTAGAGGGGCATGAAGTGTTTGTTTCAAAAATTCAATAAACCATGATAAGCCAAATTTTTCTCAACTGATTTTGATAGTTGAGTGACTAAAGTAAACACTGGTATAGGTATGGAAGTTACGCAAGAAGGCAGGTGAATGTACTGAAATTTTGAAAAATGGCTATTTTGAGTTGTAATTTTGGCCAAACTCTAGCCCCAGGCTCCTCTCTGTGCAATATCTTGAGGACAAAGTTTCATGCATAAACGGAAAGCTCTATTATAGTAGAGTTCATGGTCAAATTTATTTTGCAGCACAATTTACAAGTGGGGTCTAATGGCACTTTCAAAATTCCCCCTGGAAGGGTGGATTTTTGGTGCTCAAAAGGCCAAAAATGAGACCCCCCCTGTAACTCCAAAACTAAAAGTCAGAGAAGTGAGCCAAAGTGGCTTTTAAAATATCTCATCACACCCAAATTCTGTGTCAAGTTTCAGCCAAATCGGTTGACAACAACTTTGGGCCCTGGAACACTTTCTCGGACAATGACACTTACGTCAAATTAAACAAACAAAACACAATTTATAAACACGTTTTACAACAATAAGAATTTCTTCGTTATTGCAATTCATAACTCACCTCTAGTTTTTCCTCAAGTCTCTAGTTATCAGCCTCGAGGTTATCAACTCTCTCTCTCTAGAACACATAGCACAACTGAGAAAACACATTCCCAAGTAACAACTGATCCATGAACACGAAATTGAGAAATATGGGAACTATTACACACAATTTTCTCTCTCAAAGTCTTTATTTTCTACATAATAACAAAAACGGTTCGTTTTAATTACATTCAGTTCTTGCGCAGGTAAGTATCAAGAGAAATAAAACCTTAGATAGAGATTTCCCTGCCTCGTACCCAGACGTCTCTCTCTCGATGAAAATGTACGCGCAAAGGAATGTGGGAAGGAGACCCTTCCCATGGTCCCCTGTGGTTCATCACTAGTCACTCGCGTTTCGCGCTCGCCTCTACGACGAGAAAAACGAAGCGCCTGAGGAGGAGGCTGGAGATTTCTTTAGTCTGACCTAGATTGGTTGAAAATACCGTAAAATTCCGAAAATAAGCCCTTCCATGTATAAGACCCCCCAAATATAAGCCCCCCCCCAAACCGGTAAGGCAAAAAACCCTCCGTTAAATCGCCCCTCCAAATATAAGCCCCCCCGGGGGCTTGTACTTGGAAAATTGCCCTCAAATACAAAGTAAAACAAAGCAAAAACGGTAAATTTACTTCCAACCATAAGGCTAGCCCAATCGGTTTTGAAACGCAAATTTCCCTCCGTAGATAAGCCCCTCCGAATATAAGCCCCTCCAAAAATAAGCCCCTCAAAAAGGGCCTTTGAAAAATATAAGCCCCGGGGCTTATTTTCGGAATTTTACGGTATACGAGCATACGTGAACATATCGTGAATGCATGTACCCTGGTATGGCTGTGTCTGACCGTTTGATCACCTCCAGTACCCGGTTTTACATAGGCCGGGTCTAAAGTACAGGTCACATTCCACAGGTCAAGAGTACAGGTCACTGCTCCATCAATAAATTTTCAAACCACAGATTCCCCTTGATGTAATAGAGTATTTCAAGAGATTAGGGCTAGGAGACACTTTTAATGACTAACAAAAATGATGTAAAACGGACACATGTTTTAACACACTTACAAGTGTGACGTTTGTTGGTAATTATGTTTCCATCTAGTATCTGTGGATTATAAGGAAAAATTGCCCACTTTTCCCGAGTAGCGGTGTTTAATTAAGTAATTACGGTAATTAAACAGGAAAGCGTGCATGCAGGTGTTTTGAAAGTTCAGCCTACATATTTCTGTTTCCCCGTCCCCATTCCAGTCCCGTCTTTCCATTTCTGTTTATAAAAATTGTTAAAAGTGACCGTCAAAAATTGCGTTGTAGAAAATTACAAAACCGAGTAATAAGAAAAAAAAACTTTTGTCAATGGCGTCAATTTCATAGTAGCTGACCAAAATACCAGAACAACTGTCAATAAGCAAACTTAAAAAACTTTTCTAGTATTCAGAAATTTATCTTCTATTCTGACCCCACTACCGGGAGGCACTTAACGTATTGTATTATTACTGAGTGATCGTAGCTATGTAGTAAGCTACGTACAAACAGATGCAAAAACTCCGAACACTGTTAAGCCAATATTATTCGGACTTGTTGCGTTCGTGCAGTGGCGTGCAAACGCATGCGACAACATCCAACGATGTTAGAACCTTCAGTGCATCTTGGAAAGGATACAACCCATTAAAGACTTTGTAAACACTAAGGAGACCATACGTTATGGCCGTAATGCGCGTGCGTGGCCCCAACAATGTTGGAAGACCTGTGCAAACAGAGCAAACNGACTTGTTGCGTTCGTGCAGTGGCGTGCAAACGCATGCGACAACATCCAACGATGTTAGAACCTTCAGTGCATCTTGGAAAGGATACAACCCATTAAAGACTTTGTAAACACTAAGGAGACCATACGTTATGGCCGTAATGCGCGTGCGTGGCCCCAACAATGTTGGAAGACCTGTGCAAACAGAGCAAACATTGTTGCGCTACACTTCAGCGATCGTGGAGCAAAAGAAATGTTGGGAGTTGTTGGCTCAAAAGTTTGACCAGTTTCAAATTTTGGGCAACAACACCTCAGTATCAGCACTCAACAACATGCAACAGGGTGTGCGAACGGACGCAACATGTAAAATCCAACAATGTATGGAGTTGTTTGCCAACAATGTTGAGTCTGCTTGGACAGGGCTGCACCTATTCTACACACAGCTAACAAATTTTAAAAATAGTTTTTAATTTTCTCCAGTTACTTGGAAAATCTGTCTTCTCAATTCACCCTGAAATAACAAAAAATGTATATTAATATTGTTTACGAATGTTGGTGGCAACTACAAAGAGTCGAAAATCAAGCACGCCCCTGGGACATTAATGAAGATCATTTTACATATAAAAAATCTTAAGAACAATAAAGGACCCTATGCTGAGCCCTGTGGCACTCCACACCACCGGCACGTTCCGAAAACATCTCTTTAGTGTTGAGAGAAATGAGAGAGATGTTTTAGGTTGACTTGAATATCCTTAGCTATTCCAGCTTAAAGCATGGAACCAAAATGTTTCTTTTGTTTTACGGGAAACGGTTCTATTTTTCGCCCGGCGTCCCGATTACGAACGGATGTAATAAAGCGTGTTTTTGCAGAGACATAATCATTTCACCACCGGCTAAAACATGAAACTTGACTCTTGAACTTTTTTAAAAAAAATCTGCACTCAAAACTGTATGATGGAGGAATCTGGAACTGTATTTCTGCTATACATAAGGTTCGATGCGCTCATTTTCAATAGACCTTTCCCCCGTTTTTTCAACTTTTGATATGGACAAGTTAGGATAAATCCACTGGAAAGAGCGCCTTGTAATTAGGAAAATTGTGAAGTTTGAGAGTGATTTGTTGAAAAAGATATTAATAGCTCCTCAAAGTCGCGAAAGTTTACAGACGTTTGCATGGTGGGGGCACAAACCTGCCCTCTTAACACGTGTCACTTTCAAATTTCAAGCAATTTTACTACTTTTAGTTTAAGACGCTCTTTCCATTGGTGCCGGCGGCTTTTCTCTAAATAGTCCATGTTAAAAAAAATTGAAAAATCGTGGAAGGGTCTGCAGGGAGCTTAAGCGATGAGGACGGCGACGGTAACGAGGACGGCACAAAAAAAAAATCATTAGGATGACATTAGTAAAACAACAACTTCGCACGTGCATTACCATTTTTAGTACACTAATTTATTTGACGACCAAGACATGAAACTGCCTAATTTCACTTTTTGTTGAAGACGCTTTCCATTTGTCAAAACTGGCCGGTTGGACCATTGCCTGACCAGTCAGTTAGCAACCGAAATCGTCTTTCTCCAAGAGTTTTTTTTTCTGAAAAACCATCTCCTTCGGGATAATGTCTAGGATAAAAGTGAAATTTTCGTTATGACGGGAATGGTCTGGCCTGCCAGTTCTGAAAAATGGAAAGCGCCCTAAAGCCCTTTTGGAATTCAACTCCAGAAAAACTCACCAACACTTGACAAATTAAGCGCCATGAAAGAAGAGCGATGAATTTTGAAGGAACACCAATTCACATATTTAAAAGACGTTTTTGCCACCTTATGTCGCCGTCATTGCTTAAGGTCCCTTATAACAACAAAAAAGGTCGCGCGTAACGAGAGTGGTCTGCCTGTGTTACAATTTCGTCACTTACGATCTATTGAAAACTAGATTGTCGGTGTCCGAAGCAGAAGCGCAAGAATAATCCAATGACAACAACTGTTCCCATGCTTTGTGATTAGTTATTTTCCCACTTCTTCAAAAGAAAAAAAGCATTGAAACCCTTGCTAGCAATTTCACCGTAAATGTCTGGTACAGGAATTTTTCTTCAGATCTTACTTTACAACAGAAACAAGAATAGAAAGAAACCTTCATGGACGACTAGGCTTATAAAACAACACTCACCTCTAATGTGTTCAGGATAAACTGATGAGCTTGAAAGATTGGTCTCTTCCCTATACCACGCCTCATATAGCAGGAATGAATGGGACACATGTTAAGAACACAGAGTGCTGCAGCAAGGCCACATCCAGCACCCTTCAATGAGCTGGTGATCAATGTGTGGCTGTCCATTGACTCAGCTTCATCTGCTGTGGTCTTAGTTTTGTCAGCAATGATCTTAATGGACACAATTCCATTGCGTTTCTCAGCTGTAAACAGAGAATACAGGCTACTAAACCACGTACATAGAACGTCGTCACAGGAGTGTTAGGAATGAGTCTAGTAAAATGGAGGTACCATCCAGCTGCTGGTTACAATTGTCCTTGCCATGATCGCTCCAAAATCAGTTTATTAATTTATTTGATTTAGTGGAACTTGACAAAAATTTGTGCCGTGTCCCTTAGACAGCAATAAAACACATATTCACCTTTTTGAAGCTAACTTATATAATAGTTGAACAGTCTAAATACTTTGATTACTGAAAAGAATTCATTTATTTTCTCCCATGTGAACCCACAATTATCGTGTTTTTGCAAACTAAAAACCCTTCCAACAAACCTTCTTCAAATAACGTGTCCACCAAACCACTTTTGATGTCACTCTTCGTTTCAGGTTGAAGTGATGTTTCAGCCTCCAAGCCTATCATCGTATCAAGCCTCGGACTGATTTTACCTTGATACAGCTTGTCTAGCAAAGCATTCATCTTCTCGTCGTGAGCACATTCAACAACACGAACACCATCCTTCGAGATTAAATGACCTTGGGCAACGTTGTCTACTATAATTTCTCGAAAAAGCTTTGCGTTCTGTTCAGTAACAATAGTTATTTTCTTATTCAATACTTCAAGAGCTTTGATAAGAGCGATCATTGCCTGGATGCATTCTGATGTACTTGTCTCCGATGAAAAGCTTTCTTTCTCATTTAAAAAGCCGATAACAACAATTGGAGCATGGGACAGTCTCAGTGATATCTTCAGGAAATCCGTTGTGGACTGTGCATCTACCTTTCCATCGACACTGTTGTGGGTTGCAGAAATTTCAGCCAGCTTTTCTACTTTTGTTGCTACACTGAGAGAACAGACAGAAGCAAGGTAAGGTTTATCTGTCAGAGTGACGAGCCTTGGTTGTTCATCACCATGTCCTGGTTTATGGATTTTGAAATATTCATCCACAGTCGTATCGCAGATGAACACTGAACCAGGAAAATGACAGAAGCAAAGTGGGAGTTCTGTTATTAAAAAAAAAGGAGAAAGATTTTTATCAAAAGTTATAGCTGCGCTACCAATTTAGTTAGTCAGCAACAAACTTAAGAATGTCATGCTTAGCATGGCTACAAAAAAACTAATTGAAATACAATTTATATATTAGTATCTTGAGTCATTTTAGGGTATGAAAATACATGGCGCTAAATACTTATTAATGCAGATGATTTATCATCATCATCATCATTATTATTGCGATTATCATTATTATTCACACAGTGTAAACTATATATACCTATATTTCTCTTAGTACACCAAAAAGACGTAACTTCACTTATATCCTCATATACATGTCTTCGCAGCTCACAATACTTTCAACCTTTATCTCTTCAACCTTTTTTGCTACCGGGTTCCTGATATAATAATTTGATGAGCCTTTTTGCAACTTCAGTTAGTTTTACCGTTACAATTAAAACTTGACAGAAAGTATTAGAAGGATAACTGTGGAACAAAAGTGCCAGCGCATTGGTGGGAGTACTCGCCTCCGGCCAGTGTGGCCTGGTTTTGAATCCCGAAGGCCATGCCATATAGGTGAATCTTTGTTTACACTTTTTGCCTCATTAACATATGCTTATCACTATCTGATGACGCTAAAAAAATAGAAACTCTGATTACTGAAAGGGCATAACAGTTTCAGTTATCTCTGAAAATTTGAGCCCAATACACCTGATGATTTCGGAGAAATTCTCTTCTAAAAACTCGAAATTTTACAGATAATGCACTGGCTCGATAACTTTTTGCCTCGCAGCAATTTTGCAGTTTTTGATGGCTCATATTTCCTTCAATATTGCTTGAAAAGAGCTGAAAATTGCACAAATTGCTCAACTTAATCAGCTGTTTCAACTTTTGCATTTAGTTCGCATATACGGCCTGCACGGCTTCTATGAGTTAAGTCGTATGCTAATGAGGAAAAATGTAAACAATGACTTCAGCAAAGATTCGCCCATTGGGGTCGAGCTTGTTGTTGATTCTCGGCAATGTTCAGCTTCAAAGGCTTTTTCTCCGGGTACTCCGCTTTACCCCCTCCTCTAAAATCAACATTTCCGAATTGCAATTCAATCCAGAATGATTACTACGCTGGAGATGCACCACGACTAAAGTGGTCATTAAGAGTTACTTGGCAAATACAAACGCCAACTTTGTAGTGTGTTAAGTTTGTTACATTAAAAACATACTTGCTGCTCTTAATGCTATGGACCCTGATCTGCCACAGGCCCAAAACATGGGTATAAGATCTCCAATGTCTGAAGGTTCACCAAACTCTGTGTTGTAAAGATCATCTATTCCAATGACCGCTGGATCTCCAATGTGTATTGGTGCTCCATGCAAGCCTTCAAAGGCAGCAGTGATGATAAGAGTTTTTTCCACCAGATCTTTGGGAATTGCACGCATGGAAACAATTAAAGGAGAGGCAAATGGTCCAACAGATATGCAATGAAGGTTGGTCTCAAACATGGAGGCACCATCACCGTGCTTTTCGGTTATATTCTTCAGGGGAATTCCAGCTCGTACTAGCTTACCCTCAAAACCAAAACTGCAGCCCACATAGAAAGACACTAAGTCATTCCAAGTGTGTGATGTGAGATCTCCAGGTGTTTCAGTAATTACTCCGAATTCATTCACACAGTATTTTGGGATATCAGTCCTAAAACAAACACAGTTGTAATCAAAATGGGACAAGAGTTGAATACATTCCGATGGAATTTTTAAAGATGGTTCTTGGCCCAAAACGCTCTATTTTTTGGCGCACTGAAAGGCAGTTAAACAAATTACTTTCAAGCCGACAAAGGAAAATGTTAAGAGGTTGTAGCAATTATCAAGGTTAAACGAATACAACTGAAAATTACCGCTTAAATAGAATTCGGTTAGATTTAAGGGGTTGGTATATTGTCAAGTGTTTTCAAGGTATCCTGGGACTAATCAGGTCAAGGCTAATTATAATATAACTGAGAAATTGGTTTTACACCAAATTTACTCAGTGCAAACTAAGGTTAAATAAAAGGCAAAGATGGTAAATACAGCATTTGCCTTAAAATTTACACCCCCATGTAAACTGGCAAGCAAATGCAGTATTTACCATCTTTGCTTTTAATTTCCCCCTTGTTTGCACTTTTCTGCACCATATTTACCTGGAGTAAATTTGTGTAAATCCAATTTTTTGTGCAGTGTTACATAGTATAGGTATGCACCTAGCTCATTCTCTCTTGGCATGCTCAACGTACTAATCCGTACCCGCTTAGAAAGTTTTTGTGGTGGGAAGGAGATCCTTCGGAAACTGTTGGGTAGTGTTCAAAAACATGTATTTCTATTGCACGTACTCAATAAAAACCATAACAAAGTATTAACTGCCTTATATGCTAGTAACTGGGTACTTTCTGTAAATCGCAAAAAATAATTCCCATCAAGAAAAACCAGTCATTCCTAATTGCACAAAAATTAGTTACCGCAAAACACAAAAAATCTCTAATCCACAAAAATAAGCTCCTGCAAAACTTTCGTGCCTCACGGTAGCCAATCATCTCTGTGACACGCGCCAAAATTCGTCGGCAAACGCTCTCTGCTTTTTAGTTACTGAACGCAAATGCTACCGTTTTGTTTTGGAAGGAAAATGTATGACCAAACGGATGAAAGTTTGCGTAAGAGAATATCCCGCATTCGCAGCAAGGGCTCTGGAAAATGTGCAAGTACTGAAACTTTGGACAAGAACAAGAAAATACTGTGATATAAATTGTGTTCAGATGTTCGCATTCAAACCAAACATTTAAGTGCATAATTATGTTCAGTTGCGGACGAAGTCTGCTGAAATAGTCTGAGGTAATGACTGAAATCTTTATTTTTAATAGTTTTGGTGTTTGAAGTAAGTATCTGCATTGTTTTTGTCTTCAGTTGTACTCGAAATGGCGGTTTCCCGTGGCCTTTTTACCTGCAGCGCCTAAAGTACTAGGTTTGCGCATCAAGTAAAGGATCGTAAAGGATTAGTTGGCGCTATAAGAATGAACCTTTTTTTAAAATCTTGCAGTATATTTGTTTCAACTTGTAAACGGTTCGATTGTGTAATATTATTCTGTGACGCGCTAACAAGTGGATCAGCCAACCAGCTAAATATATAATTAATAAGTACGAGGACTACGTCCTTGTCAAATTTGAAAATAATTGGGTAAAAAAATTTATCTAACAGCGAAATTGGACTCGGCTTACGGCCTCATCCAGTTTTGGCTGTCCTTGGAATTTCTTTCATCCAATTATTTCCAAATTTGACAGCATGTAATCCGACTACATATACTAACTTATGTGGTGACGGTTTTCTGAGTTTGACGGTATTAAAACTTCATTGCATTCCGCCGAGTGTATTATGTATTAAAACACTGACTCGGGGCCTTTTGTTCTTTTGTGAAAATGAAATAAAAGAACAATGGATCTTCCATCACTCCAACTCGCTCAATTTGCATGTATGGATAAACTTAAAACAACGATTCGCCTTTTGTGCATTAACCAATATCGTTTTTCAAGTTCTTGATGCTGTTGCAATTTATATAAGCTTGAGTTAAACTTTATAAATTCCATTTTGTTTTGTACCTTATATCAGAGGAAGGAGCCAGGGGTCCAGCCGAGACCTCACCACGTTCACTTCTATAAAGTAAAGGGCAAGCTACGCTATTGAACTCACAAAACTGCTCAAAATCATTTGCTAATGCAGATGGTAAAATGACCACAGTCGTCTGAAGATATCCCATGGAAAATCCTGCGGTCGTTACTCCCTTTAAAGCAGGATTCGTTCGAAACTCGTGTCTTGCTATTGACGGTTTCCATAGACTGACCAAATCACTTTGTTGGGAAGACATGCTTAAAGTGTGTAAGTGAGGGGAGGATCAGGGAGCTGAAAAATTAAAAGGGGCTGAGACTTGGGCGAAGTCATGAGCTGGGCGGGGCCTTCCCTTTCGCCAAGGCCCCCGCCGGCCGAGACAGACAATCTACAATTGTATAGCCTTTCAATCAGGGATAATCACAGGTTCTCAATGGCTCCAACAACAACAACAACAACAACAACAACAACAACAATAATAATAACAATTATAATGATAAAAATAATTGTACCTCCAGTCTGTACATTATGAACATTTACACACTGTACTGTAGCTTGAATTTCATCCGATTACTTCGAGCATAGTTAATTGAGTGGAATGGTTATGAAACCCGTCAGACTCCTTTGTTATATGTTTTTGTGGACCTGAAAGAGCACAACGTTCAAAAGAATTCCTATCATTTTGATTGTATTGACCAATAAAAACGTTGCATTAATTTATTCCGTAACAATTTGCCAACAGAAAACAAAGGATTGTGCACTTTCAGGGTGCTTCCAACATAAACTGCAGTACTGTTGTTTTTATCATTGATGTTTGCTGCTTTTCATAACCAGTCTCCTCTAATAACTATGCTTCGAGTCGTTATTACTCCCTCATTAACGACGTTCCTGAGAGGAGAAAAACGACTCGAAGTAATCGGATGAAATTCAGGGTAACTGTACTGTACTGATAACTTCAAATGCTCAATGAACTGACACTTTTATGAATAATCCAATTAATGTATAAATACCCATGACTAGAACCTCGGTGTTATTCTGCAACGAAAACCTGCAATGCATTTGTACCCGATCATAAACCATTAATTGATTCGTTTTGTTTTGTTTTGTCAATTTACGGCAAATTTGAGCCTGGGGGCTGGGAGCATTGCGTGACTCCGGCCCGAGTCAAATCCTTCTTTTGTAAATAAATATTTAATAAATAATAACTTTTTATTCACAAATCCAAGGAAAAGTGAAAAGGTAAGGAGGTTGTCCCTTTCTAGTTCCTTTCCTTTTATAAAATAACTAAGATAGTACGCGCGTTCTGATTGGTTAAAAACCTATGGTTTTTGTTTATTTGAGTTTGTAAATTACTCACCTTCGGCTCGTGATTTACAAGCTTTTCTCGTGTTCTCCCGACACCCCGCGTGGGTTATCACGCCGTAAACCCATAGAAAGTGTGGGCTATTGCTTAAATAATAAAATAAATTAAGAACCTCCTATAATTATTTACAACTGTCGCAAGAGTTAGCCTGTCTCAGGCTAACAGATAGTAGAGCGCAGGGGAAAAATTCATGCTGTACAATTTAACTCGCTCCCCACCATCTGACCCGCGCGTTGCCTGGAACAGGCTACGCAAGAGTAATCTGAGAAGAGCACAAAATCCCTACCCCCCACCCGCAGGGGATTTCGACTCTCCCCAGCTTTCTTCATTCTGAATTCAAGATGGCAACGTAAGTGGCATGCACTGGAAAACGGCCCTGGAAAACAGGGGACTCAGTTTATTAGATCGCTGCAATCAATCTTTTGAAGGCGCTCTACCTAGTGATCAAAATGTTATATCCCTACTTTTTGAGTGTTAAGGCATCCGGAGGCATGTGACATCCGCGTGAATTGTCACGCCATGCTTTTTCGATTGAGGTGGTTCCCTTCTGTTGTGTGTTTACTCCACAGAAGGAATCGATTCGACATGGCAGCGTTGTACGCACAGCGGAGGGAATTTGCAACAGAGTCTTACTTCAGCGTGGTAGTTGTTCCATCCAGTAATGGCGATCAACTGGAGAGATTCTGTGATTTAAACAAAGGGATAAGTCCTTTACTTTTCCGCAGTACAACAGGGGATACAACGGCTGGGAACCTGGGAGATTTAGATGTCAGGTATGCATCACTGAACGCTAGCCGATCATAGAGTTTTATAAGGTAATCAGTGGCCTATCTTTAAGTTTTCACTGTTCTGCATAACCTTGTAGGAAGTACCCTTGGCCGAATTGTTCGAAAAGTGTTATTAGCAGTAATCCTGGGCTGGATCAATGAACTGCCCACCTACCCCTCCCCTAACCCAACGTTTTGCCCAAAATGAGATGCAAATATCAACGTTGAGTTAGGGAAGTGGTAGGTGGGCAGTTTCCCAGAAACCTAAATTTGATCCCCCGGGCTTACTGTAAACAAGCCTGGGCAAATGTTTTCATTTTAACAATAATGGTCATATTTATAATAGAAGATGTCTTAGACATCCAGATGCATTTAACGTATGACTTAAGTGAGTCTCCTTAAGTGCGTCCTGTTTTTATACTAGATGTCTTAAATGTCTGAGATGACTAATTCATCTGTTAAGTGCATTGCTCAGACGCACTTAACTTCAGACGTTTTATTCATCTGAGGTTTAATGAGTCTGCCTTATTTCCTGTATTTATGTTAGACGTCTAAGTAGTATAAATATGGCCAATAATGAATTTGCAAGGAAACGCTTGCCTGCAAACCCCATGATTTTTGAAAAACTGTGCTCACCCAAATAAACACAGCTGATTGGTGCCAAACCAACTAAAGTTGCCATGGAGAAGCCGATTTGTCAACTCTTTGAAATTAAAGATTCTTTGATTATTGCAAATTTTATAATGGCATGTGTTGTACAGAACTTTTCTACATGGGCCGGATAGCAGCCGCTCTCTGCAAAACCCATAGCGACGGACTGACTTATCCTAGAGAAATCAGAGATAAAGCCCCATAACTTTCCAAATGTAACTTGACAATCAAAAACAACGAGAAATTCTGCAGCAATCACTTGAAGTTTCATCCTTCTTGTATCATTATTATAGTTTTCTGCAATCACATGGAGCATATTGTTTTAAAGGAAACAAAGTAAATTTTTGAAATCTGGTTATCTTTTATAATTCTGTTTCCTCTTCCATCATGTTATACTGGCTGTTATGTTGATGAGCTGTCAATTTACAAATGAACGAAACCATGAAATATCAAGCGGCATTTTCCAGAATTGTGGGGTTCACGGGCAAGCGTTTCCTCTTATCTTCTCTCCTTCCTCTTCCAATTTTTTTTGCTGTTGTGGCCAGCTCTCATGCAATAACTTGATTGGAAACGCTTGGTATGCAGGCTATTCTTATAACCTTTTTTCTCGTTTGGAGAAAATTGGTGTTGGTCACTCTTGGGCCCAAAAGGCTAATCATCTTTCAGTAAATTGCCTCAGATGCCAAAGGGCTTTCACTTTTGCTTTTGTATTGTCAAGCCGTCAACCAAGACCAACAGAGATGATTATCTTACCATACTGATTGGATAAAAATGGAAATTTAATCAAGCCACCTGTGATTTGGAAGACGGGGTAGTGTGGATTTGGAAAACTGCTTGTACTGCTAGAAAAGTTCAAGCTATACCCCTGGGTGGGTAGTTGTAACTTCAAGCAAGCATAATTTACAGTAGTAGTACAAACTTACTTAATATTTTTGTAAATTTTTGTAGACACAGTCAAACCCTGTTGATACGGACAGTAAAGGGGCCATAGAATGTGTCCGTATTATCGGGGTGTCCATATTAAGCTAGTCATGTTATTAAAAACCTTTTATTATATAAACTGCAGTGTTTTACAAGGATTTCTACCACCGAGAAATGTGGTATCTGAACACACGTAAAAATACAATATTTTTACATGTGAAGATATCGATAATTTCACTGACATTAGGTTTGTCTCTTAAATTGTACTTAAATTCGTTGGTGTATCATCGAAACATCTTCGGGTCTTCCTTGAAAGTGCTCGGCAATCTTCGGAAATCTTTGGACATCTTAGGAAATCTTTGGACATCTTCGGAAATTTTCAGAAATTCTCGGAAAATGTTCGGGAACGTTCGTCTGGTCTTCGGGACAATTTGAAAAATCTTCGGAAATCTTCGGAAGGTGGTCGGAAATCTTCGGAAAATTCTAAAGTTGCCATGGAGAAGCCGATTTGTCAACTCTTTGAAATTAAAGATTCTTTGATTATTGCAAATTTTATAATGGCATGTGTTGTACAGAACTTTTCTACATGGGCCGGATAGCAGCCGCTCTCTGTAAAACCCATAGCGACGGACTGACTTATCCTAGAGAAATCAGAGATAAAGCCCCATAACTTTCCAAATGTAACTTGACAATCAAAAACAACGAGAAATTCTGTAGCAATCACTTGAAGTTTCATCCTTCTTGTATCATTATTATAGTTTTCTGCAATCACATGGAGCATATTGTTTTAAAGGAAACAAAGTAAATTTTTGAAATCTGGTTATCTTTTATAATTCTGTTTTCTCTTCCATCACGTTATACTGGCTGTTATGTTGATGAGCTGTCAATTTACAAATGAACCAAACCATGAAATATCAAGCGGCATTTTCCAGAATCGTGGGGTTTGCGGGCAAGCGTTTCCTCTTATCTTCTCTCCTCCCTCTTCCAATTTTTTTTGCTGTTGTGGCCAGCTCTCATGCAATAACTTGATTGGAAACGCTTGGTATGCAGGCTATTCTTATAACCTTTTTTCCCGTTTGGAGAAAATTGGTGTTGGTCACTCTTGGGCCCAAAAGGCTAATCATCTTTCAGTAAATTGCCTCAGATGCCAAAGGGCTTTCACTTTTGCTTTTGTATTGTCAAGCCGTGAACCAAGACCAACAGAGATGATTATCTTACCATACTGATTGGATGAAAATGGAAATTTGATCAAGCCACCTGTGATTTGGAAGACGGGGTAGTGTGGATTTGGAAAACTGCTTGTACTGCTAGAAAAGTTCAAGCTATACCCATGGGTGGGTAGTTGTAACTTCAAGCAAGCATAATTTACAGTAGTAGTACAAACTTACTTAATATTTTTCTAAATTTTTGTAGACACAGTCAAACCCTGTTGATACGGACACTAAAGCGGCCATAGAAAGTGTCCGTATTATCGGGGTGTCCATATTAAGCTAGTCATGTTATTAAAAACCTTTTATTAGAACAAATTATGCTAAAAAAATAATAGGACATAAGCAT